CCCCCCCCCCCCCCCCCCCCCCCCCCCCCGCAGGGGGTGGGGGGCAAACATAAAATTTTCCAGTCCAGTGACGCAATCTGGATTTAATTTAGCATCAAAATTAACTGAGAATGCTTCACAAAAATGAATACTGACAATTATGATGTTAAAAACATCAAGAAAGTCAGCAAATTTAGAGACGAGGAAAGATTAAAATTCTGTTTAGGTGCATAGTTTCAGTCAACTCGGAAAACAAAACATTTCAGACAAGTTTAAGAAACTTCGAAAAAAATTAGAATTTAGATTCCGAAACATCTTGAAACATTCAAAAACCCTCTAGATGCTCGGAATTTCTATGCTTAATCACCAATTCATCTCGACTTCCATTGAACCGAAATGTTTCAATCGTTTAAGTGAAGTGACCAAAATTTTGATCCTTGGATACAAGGAACGGCGCACAATGAAAACTTGGTGCAACTTCACTGAATTTCCTTGTCTAGATGATATTCCATAAATCAACGTCAATTATGTTATGCTGAAGATAGTCACCTATTTTTCTTAACCAATAGGATGAAAAACTTCTACACAAGATACTTCCATGATCAAAAGGAAATAAATAAGAAATCTTCTGAATAAATAGAAATTGACTACACCAATCCAAATGGAAAGGCAGACACATTTCTACACAAGGGTGACATGTGCAATCCCTGATGCACCATGTAGACAAGTCATCTTCAAGTTTTGAGTGCTTGACTTTGTTGAAGAATAATGTGGGTTATATCCAAATCTAGACAGCCAGGGTAAATCGCGTCTTAAACAATTTCATCTCGAATGCATTAATCTTCTGACCATATTACTGTTAGCAATTTTAATGTGTCGGTTGGTTATCATAGTTTGTTTAATTTGCACCCTAATAATAAAAAGGGATAATATGCCAACTATTAGCTCCTCATTGGCATTCTTTATTTCTTTAAGCATTTCCATTTGGTTTTACCATCTTTGTGTAGGTTCTCCACACCCTGTGCTACATTTGTTGGGGATGAATTTGCCTCTGTAATCGCATTCATGAACACACTCATCATGTACAGAACTAGTTCGAAGCCAGTATCTTCCAATTTCTTCGCCATTCAACCAAGCTAGGCCTTTTCCCATATGAGCCATATCCAGCCCAACAGGTTCATCTCCATGTGGAAGGTCCACAGCAACCTGCAAAATGCCAGTAATTACTTCTCATGCGACAATGTAGCTGTGGTTGTCAACTTCATTTCAGAAGTAATGATACGACATCCACGTCAGTGTATGTTATTCTGTCTAGGTACCTTGTACCAAGTGAGAGGTTGATTCTTTGGTGGTTCTGAAGTTGATACCCAATCTACACTATTCAAACCTTTTCCCTTGTATATGTTCAAGTGTTCCCCTCGTAATCCGATCTGCGAAACTCAATAAATTAAATAAAGAGGAAAGGGTATTATAATTTGTGTAGAGAAAGAAAAATTATCAACTTGAAATACTACACAATAAGAGCAGAAGTTTTTTTGTGATAGATGGTGCTTCCAATTTAATACTTTTTTAGTATTTATGTTATTCTCTCGGGTTTCCATAAATGGAATAGGAATGTATTGTGCTACATAACACAAAACACAACAAAATCTGGGCAGACTTGTATGGATCACATAGGTGAGATGAGTGAAGAAGTTTCACTCATTTTCCTTTGGAGAACAATCACACCTATTAGTTCTGGTAAATCAGTATCACTGAGTTGCAGCAAATTCACCTCCAATATACAATGAAGCCTAGAATTAAATTCTTATTCTGCACTCAAGGATCAAAATATCATTTGAAAACGTTCGAAACATCCAAAACGTTTCCATTTTCAAGGAGACCGAATCAGTGATGGAATCGAAATTCTAATACTTCAAGGTGTTCTATAATGTTTTGAAATGTTTTGTTATATTTCAATGTATTTGCACAATTATTTCGGAACGCTTCAAAATATTTCAAAATATTTTGATATATTTCGACTAATGTTTTAAAAAAATAATTCTTAAATTTTTTATTTTGTTTATGAAAGGATCAAAATATTTCCGAAACACATCGAAACATTTCCGTTTCTTAGATGACCGAAACAATGCACCGAAATGAAATTTTGGTCCTTGTCTGCTCTATACACAAAAGAAGGAAAACCATAATAACTTCATATATTTGGAAGTCATCAACATACCAGAAATGTGTTTCTACGAAAATCAAATTCCAACACGAAAACTAGAATAATAAAGAGCTGAGTTTTTTAGCCTTTTGAGAGATAAATTGCAGTAAAATTGAAATAGATTGAAATGCCAATGTTAGAGTATTACTTTCATATTATGTCACTTTTCTATTGTTTTGATTTCCTATTATGTTATTTCCCTAGTATATCCCTTTCTTATTGTTCTACCTCCCAGTTATGTTATTTTCCTACTATATTCTACTTTCCTAATCTTTTAATTGTCTTTAATACCAATCAAATATAAATAGGTGATAGTGTGTTGGCAACTTACACAATATGCGCCACAATATTTCATAATCTCTCTTCTTCCTCTTTGTTTCTTTCCCCATGCCCTATTATTCAATTATTCAACTCTCAACTTCATATCAGAGCAAGATACTTGGGTGAGTGGGGTCTGACCCTAGGCGAGAGCCTAACTCACCTAGTGGTTGGACTAGCTCAACAGACATTAAGTTGTAGTCTTTTGCATGTTTGCCAGTTGTTGTCGTCGTCGTCATTATCATTCTAAGTTGTAAATTTCCTATTGCCAATATCTTCATCAATTGCTCATCGACAATTGTGATCAATATCAGTTGTTGTGAGATATGCCTAAATTCGTGTCTGTGTCTCCGGTGTCTAATCATCAGTACAAATTTTAGTGCTTTCTGGCCAATTTAGTGTTGATTCTAAGGTTTTCAAGTCAATTTGGTGTCAATTTAGTAGTTTTCATCCCGATTCAATTCCAGTTTAGTGTTTTAACCCAATTTAGTTTTGGTTAAGTGATTATTGCGTCAGTTTGGTGTTGTTTTAGTGATTTTTATCCCGATTTATTTTTGGTTATATATTTTCAACTCAGTTTAGTGTCGTTTAAGTGATTTTTAGGATAATTTGGTACTAGTTTAGTAGTTTTCATCCCGGTTTAATTCTGGTTTAGTACTGGTTTAGTGGTTTTTCAAAATGGTTTGGTGCTAGTTTAATGGTTTTTGTCCTAGCTTAATTTTGGTTCAGTGTTTTCATTCCGGTCTCGGCACACGACTCAGTGTTTTCAACCTGGTTGTGTGCCCATTTTAGAGTTTTCATCCCGGTTTAGTATTGATTTTGTGGTTTTCAACTCCAGTTATACTTGGTTTACCATGTTTTTTATTATTGTGGTTTAACTTCTTGTTGGGTTCCTTGTGGTGTTATTGGTTGTGTTTGTTTGTGCCCATATTGTTATTGTTGTTGTTGTTGGTGGTGGTGGTGGTGGTGGTGTTGTGTTTTTCCTTTACCATCATTGTGTTTTTTTACAGCGTTGCTATGATCGTCACTTGCTATTGCTTATTTTGGTGTGGTCATTAATTGTTTCTCTAGAGAAGGAAAGAGATGTGTTAGACTTTACAAGGAACAATCTACGTAAAGATATTGTGGTCAACTCAATGATTTTCGTACCAAAAAATTGGCATGATCCACAGTTAGTAGCCTTTATTCCAAGCTGCACATATTTTATCCCTATACTCCAACTTGAGGAGTGTTATAGTGTTACTTTCCTATTGTTTTACTTTCCTATTATGCTACTTTCGTATTATGTCACTTTTCTATTGTTTTACTTTCCTATTATATGGTTTTCCTATTATGTTTTACTCTTCTATTATTGTAATTGTCTTCAATATCTATCTAATATAAATAGGTGATACTGTGTTGGAAACATACACCCTACGCACCATATTATTTCATAATCTATCTTCTCCTTTCTTTCTTTCTTTCTTTCTTTCTTTCTTTTCTTACACCTATATTCAACTAATTTCTGGCCTATTTATAGGCACAATGGTGTATGTTCAGGCTATTATGATGACTCTTTTGAATAGACAACCTGATTGTTCATGTTGAGAAAGCTACTATAATATATTTAGGGTTATGTTAATTAGGGTTTATGTTTATTATAATATGCATACCACACAAAGGGTATACTCTTCTTTTGTTTAGTTGTTCAATAACTATAAATACAAGATTAATAGTGAGAAGTAGGTTAAGCCAAAACCTCTCTTTGCCTTTCTCTTATTGTATTAAGCTTCTCTCTAATTCTAACATAGTATCATAGCAAAGTTCCTATTAATCCTTCTTTTTTTTTTCCTTTTTTTTCCTTTCCTCTTTTCTTTTCTCTTCTTCTCTTTTCTTTTTCCTTTTCTCTGGTTCGCATCTTCACTGAGTCTGGTTTGTGTCTCCACCGATGTTGAATGGGTTTGCACTGAATCTGTACATTCCCCAAATTGTAGATTCAGAGTGTATGTCGATGCTGGTTTCAATAGTTCTCTGCTGAGCTGATCTTGGTATTGGTGTTGTGGTGGGGATGTGGTGTTGCTGTCGACGTTCCTCGTCGCTGTGGTAGTGTAGCCATTGTTTGGGTGTGACTCGCCGTCGACTGGTGTGGCTTTTTTGGTAGTGTGGCTGTAGGAATTCCTTGGTAACGTTGACTGGTGCAGTAGCATCGACATTGAAGACAAGCAGTGCGGTTTGTTTGAAACCCTAGTTCATGAAGAAGATGACCCACATGGGTCGGTTGCAGGCAAGAATCAAAATATCATTTTGAAATAGTCGAAACGTCCGAAACGTTTCTATTTCGAAGGAGACCGAAACGAAACAATAATAGAATCGAAATTCTAATATTTCGAGATATTCCATAATTTGAAGATGTTTTTATAATATTTCAATAAATTTGCACAATTATTTCTGAATATTTCAAGATATTTCAAGATATTTTGATATATTTCAATCAATGTTTTAAAAAAATAATTCCAATTTTTTTTTATTTTTTTCATTATGTTTTCGAAACTGATCGAAGCGTTTACAAAATACGTCGAAACGTTTCCGTTTCCTAAGTGACCGAAACAACACATCGAAATAAAATTTTAATTCTTGGTTGCGGGTTGGGTCTAAGTCCACGGGTTTAATCCATCCAGATCCAAAACTAATTCAAGTCAAATTCAACCCAGTTCAAATACAGACCAGTTCAGGTCCAGTTCAGTCAGCCTTGCACTGGTTTAGACCGATTCTATCACTTTTTCGTCTGGTTCAGTGGTCCAATGAACCTTGCTTGTCCAGGTTAGTGATCCAACGAAGATTTTCTCCCAGTTCAGTAGTCCAGTGAACCTTTCTTGTTCGATTCAACAGACCAACGACGTTTTCCTGTCCAGTTCAGCGGTCCAGTGAACCTATTTTGTCCGGTTCAACGATCCAACGAACCTTTCTTGGCCGGTACAGCAATCCAACAAGCTACCCTATTGTTCCATTCAACTCCGGATCATCTCTGTTCAGCATTGTTTCGCCTGATTCAGCTTCTTTTGTGCACTATTCAGCCTCCCTATTGCTATGGAATCCAAGACTTATGAAATATCCATTGTTACTTCTCCTGTGCCACCTGGTTTGTCTTCTACTGTTCTATTTAATGGTCCTATGACATCAGTTAAGCTTATGGGACAAATTATGTTTTATGATCACGCTCAATCTAAGTATTTCTGAAAGGTAAAAGTCTCAAGAATATTAGTGGACCCTAAACCGAAGGAAGGTGCGTCTAGGTATGATTAGTGGGAACAGGCAGATGCTCAGTTTATTTCTTTATTATTGAATAATATTGAGGTTAGTATTAGCTCCACTTTACTTTATCTTGACACGGCTAAAGAAATTTGGGACTACCTTACAAATTATTATTCCCATGTCACGGGAGTTTGTGAAGAACTAAAGCTCTACCACCCGTTCACCACTGATGCTGCAGTGTGGCAGAAGCAGTAAGAAGGTATGAATATTGTTCATTTCCTAATGGGTTTGAAACCTGAATATGAAACGGTTCATTCTCAAATTTTAGGTAATTTCAATCTCCCATCTCTACTTGAGGTTTTCTCGTTTATAGCGTGTTACATTATCAATTGGGACTTCTAATGTTGACCACAGTTTATCTCATGACCGCTCAGCACTTGTTGTTCCTCCTTGCCATAATGATAGTTCAGGAGGTGGTCGTGGTAATCGTGGTGGTCGTGGAGGACGGGGATGCTATATTAGAGGCCTCGCTAGTGGTCGTGGTGGTCGATCTACTTCATGTGTGTGCACTCATTGCGATCATGGAGGACACACCGTTTATTATTATTGGGATTACATGGCAAGCCTTCGTGCATTGCTAATCAAACCTCTTATCAGGATGATACTTCCTCCCAA